ACACACACACACACACACACACACACACACACACACACACGCTTCAACAGAACTGTAAAAAAAGAGAAAAAAAGACTGATTAAAGATTCTTTCAAGGTTCAACTCTCAACATATAATTAAAGTTTACTTTGCAGCAGATTCCACTGAACAATTGTTAAAAAATGTGAAAACCTAAAGTTAAAAAGGTGCAGTACGGAGTTTACTCATTGTAAGACAGTTGTGTTTTTACATACAATGTTACTCACCAAACACATTGTGTACATCTTTGAGGTGTGTGTCCAAACATCTTGAATGCATTTCCTTCCTCAAAACATTTGCAAACCCAGATATTGAAATATTTTAAATGAAAGGGGACAAGTTTGCATGCCCGTTTATTGTACCAATGGACAACCAACTATTTGTAATATGACAGTTGTAGCTCACATTTACAGAGATGTAAATATCCTACACTACACTGTACCTCTATGGAGCTCTTTAGGTTCTTTTAGCACAGTTACATTTACTTTTACAGAAAATGTTCTGTTCAGTTTCAGGCTCTCCGCTCCGTCATTAAGCTGCTCTCAGTAGAAGCCCTTCTTAACTTCACAGTAGAATAAACAACATAGCTCTGGTAACTTGAATCTTTAAATACATTTCCATAAATTTGCTCCTTAATTGGCTTCAAACCAAAATATAGTAGTACTGTTTTATGTGGTTTGTGTGTTGTTGGGTTCTAACCTTGAACCTCTAAAATGTAAAATTTCCCATCCATCCACATCACAAACAAAAACATTGATAGTCATGATTTAAAAAATATATAAAAACAGCCTTGCAACATTTTGTGCCTAGTCTTCATTCAAGCTAAAACAAAGTTACACTTTGAGTTTTATAAAACATGATACGATTTTCACTGGTGCACCAAATTACAATTAAATATCTAGAGGTTCTGTGTATCATTTTGTAAGAATAAAAAAAAAAAATTTAAAAAAAATTAAAATTGGCATCTTTTGAGAATTGAACTTATTTGCAAGGATTCCCGAGTTTAGGGAGGTAATAATGTTTTTTTTTAGGTTGAAGCCTCACGCCAACAGACACTTCCCACAAACCATCAGCGTATCACATTAGTGGATTAACCTTGACCTAGAGCCAGGATTTAAATAAGTGGGGAAGGGAGGGCCCAGAAAAACTTAGAGGAGAGAGAGGAAGGAGTAAATATGGTGAAGAAAGAAAGGGATGAGATTGAGGGAGGAGGGTGAAAAGAATGACGGGAAAGTATGAGATGTAAACAAGAGGGGGAGGGCAAGGACGAAATCTGAGAAAGAAAGACTCAAGGAGAAGAAAGAAGAAACATCGAACAAAAGTAACGTATAAAAGTTGGGAGAGAAGATAAACGGGTGGGAGACAGAGACATAAAAAAGGTAAACGTAGTGAACACCAACTGAAGGTGAGTAGAGAAGAAGAGAAGGAGAATCAAGCAGAGCCTGGTCTCTGCTGCCATCTTGTGGTGAGAGTCTGTTAGTCATGTCAACCCTTCAACCTTTATCACACTTACAGATGTGAGGCAATTTAGTTATTTAGTGAAGCTACTTAACTCGCCCTACGCTCTTCACCAACTCTTCTTCTATATATAACAGAATGCCTTTCAACATCAAAGCATCAATATTTGAAGAGAAAGTCCAGATATTTCATATGAGAAGATGTAGGAACTGCTGTCTATCATATGGAGCAAATGTGTACTTTTGTATGTTACGCCTTAAAGGTGCTGACCTCCAAATTCAGAGCATCGATATGGTAGCTAATTATTTGCTATGTCGGGATATAGAGGAGTAATGTCTACCTAAGCAGAGCATGAAGTCACTCTCCCTCTGTGCGTGTTTAAATCCCAGCTTCTATCTCTGCTTTGTTTACGTAGCCGTTGTGGCCGCACGTTTTAGTGCATGCGAGTCTTAGTGTGTGTTGCCTGTTGGAGAAATTTATCACACCGTTCTTAGTTAGAACTTGTATCACTAAACCTGCATATAATCTTAACCGTCTTCCCACGAAAAGGCTGGGAACGTGGCCTTGGTGGGTGCAGCGGCAGACGAGGGACGACATCTGCGAGGGGGGGGGGTGGGAGTGAAGGGAGAGGAGACGAGATAACGCGCATATATACTCTGTTTTGTCTATTCATTTTTGTTAGACCTCCGAACCCTCCGTGGGGAAAGAGCTCTATCCATTCAGCTGAATTATTATTAGTGTTTCTTCAATAAATATGTTTTTATATTTTAAGAGTTTTCTCATCTCGATTATTTCTCACCGGCAGGTTAAAAAGATTATTTCCCGCCCACTGGCTAGCTCATTGCTGCCACTCTGCACTGAGCTCACATGGTGGTTACAGCTGGGGCTGGATGGCGTTGTCGAGGAAGCGCAGCGCATTCTTTTTATTTCAATTTGATATATATATATATATACACACTTTATTTTTTTTACCTTCCATCGGTTGCCGCAGCCGTTACACAACACAAAGGTGGTCATGGGCTCGTCAGCACTGCGGATCTGCACCTTTAAACGCACACAAAACATCTTAGTGACGTATTTTCATTTAAAACTGTCCAAACACAATTCTGTGTCTGTGTGCGTGTGTGTGTGTGTGTGTGTGTGCACTCGCACATACCTGCGTGTACGAGCAGCTCTTTCCGCGGCACTTACTGCAGATGAACATGTCTGTCTCAGTTCCCCCGACCTTTGACAGCTGATGTTCTCTGATGGACTCTTTAGTTAGATTCTCTCTCATCTGCTTCAGCTCTGCACTTGCCATCTCCTGCGCGCACACACACACACACACACACACACACACACACACACTTGTTCTGTACTAGCCTTCATTGACGTAATAGCTTCCCTTGCCCCTGACCCTTATCGAACATTTATACCTAATTCTAACCAAAATACCTAATACAAGCCCCAACTCTCAAACATCCTCAACAGATGAGGATGAGACACAATGTCTGCATGACTGACCTCAGCAGTCATGGAGGCGATGCGTTGAGCAGAGATGTTTCCACACAGCACGTTACGCCGCAGTTCGGGATTCTTCTGGTCCTTGAGGTTGGAGATGCGGCTTCGTAGACGAGTTTTATATTTTATATCTGTTGTCTTAAACTCCTGGAAGATCTGTGGGCACGAGCAGCAGTCAAGGACTAGAAGACATTAATAACATCAGGGAATAGAGAGAATTAAAATCATGTTGAGCCAGCTCTCATTAATGTAAATGAGGTGGACGAAATGCTGAGCGGACAGAGTCACACTGTTAGATAAACACTTGAGCGACGTTATCAAAGTGAAACACGCCCGGGCACTCAGCACTCTCAGATTAAGATCATTCATGCAGCTGTGAAATCCTGTTCCGTTTGTTCATGTGTAACTTTGTGTAGTTAAAGTTGTTGATGACACAAAAGGATATCCTCTTCAATTAGTGCTGCAAGATGCTCACAGTGGACTCCAATTGTCTGGTGGTCATCTGGGAAACGCACACACACAGACACACTTTATACACATCAATTGACTTTTAACAAAACCACAAAGCAAAATGGACTGATAAACAAATGTAGAATTTGATTAACTAATATTCATTTAATTGGCTTGGAGTTGACCCATTAAAGCTATGGAACGGCTAATAAAATGTACTTTGAGGTGAGAATGTTTTTATATTTCAGCCCGTAGTTGGCTAAATTCTTAACCAGGGCAAATGTAAAGATTGAACAAGTGTGAATGTTCAGTAAGTTATAGTATGCACATTAGATGACATTTTTCGATTGAAACGCTGTCTATAAAAAAAAAAAAACCTTCTCACCATCAGTCTGCAGCGCTGCCACCAGCAGCTCTCGACACTTGTTCCGCACACTGTGGGTGGTGACGGGGGCAGGGGGGAATAAGGTGACCTGAGAGGGTAGAGTTGGGGTGGTGGGGGAGGTGGGTGTGATGGGTGTGATGGGTGTGATGGGTGTAGTGGGTGTAGTGGGCATGGAGGGTGAGGTGGGGGACTCCCGTGACTTCTTACTGCTGATTAACAGGAGGAGAAATTATGAAAAAAGTGTAGCAGGGTTTGGATTGAGAGAAACAGGAGATGAATCTGGTTAAAGGAAAATTACATTTTAAATCCTCTTCTATCATTAAAGAGACTGATTTGAAAAATGTACTGTCACTTCTGTCTTTAACAGTGACCTCATCCAACAGTAGGTGTAACCAAACATGACGCCATCACTGTGGGACCGACCTTTTCTCGCTGTTGCCAGAGTCCATGGAGGTGGACGATGGCCTCACAGGAGAGTCTTCTTTCTTCTTCTCCTTCTCATCCGACTTCCCCTCTGAGCCGTCTGCAGGATGGGACACAAAACACAGACGAGAAGAAGCTGTTGGGACACACCTGTAGCATACAGACTGATGCCGGTCAAAACATCTGCACTGCACCCATTGTTTTCCATCTGAGCCCACACAATTGTTGCAAAGCTCTTCTCCATTTATATTTTTTAAGCACAAGTCTGCAGGTTCACATGTATCATGACAGTATTTTCATTGTACTCTGAAAAGTGAAGCCAATGTAGTAAGGGCCTTAGAGGTGAATTCCTTCTAATGGCCAACAGGGGGCGACTCTTCTGGTTGCTATAAGAAGTCTGTTTGTATAGAAGTCTATAAGAAAATGACCCTACTTCTTAATTGATTTATTACCTCAGCAAACATTGTAAACTTGATCTTGGTCTCAATTCCTAGTTTCAAAACAGTATGATGTTTGTTTTGTAAATGATTGTCCCATTTAGGGTAAGATAGTTGTTTCATTGAAGATAATTGTAATATTTTGGTCGCCTAAAAATGTGTCCAGCATTTGGTTGTACTTAGCCCCACCCTCTCGTGTCGCTTCTGGTTGCAAAAAAACAAGATGGCGATGGAAAAATATCCAAAATGGTGGTCTGGCAAATTAAGACATTTGAAGTTGTCATCGTAGACTCATGGAACAAACAGTCTTGAAGGCCTACATCAGTACTTGTCATTGACTATAATAACCACCACAACCCTAAGCCTGTCCTCTCCTGGACTGAAACTCTACTGGGTCGTCACAAAGACAGAAGAAGAACAACACACACACACACACACACACACACACACACACACACACACCCTCACTTACCCAGCAGTTTCTTCCAGGACTTGATAAGAACTTTGGCCAAAGTCTGAACTTCTTCATCTGAACTGTGTTTCCTCACCGCGTTCACCGACATCCCAACTCTGGTGGACTACAAAGAGAGAGAGAGAAAGAGAGCGAGAGAGAAACAGACATTTATTTTCAAAGATTGTAATTGATAAAAAAGAAGTATTTCTGCTGTTATTGAGTTCTGCAAGAATGAATCCTAAAACGCTGAAATGAGTTAGCATTTTTGCACTTCTGGTTCCCTTGTCTCAATGCCAATGGGACAAATTTTTGAATGGGTTTTTGGTTAGATGCCTGAAATAAGGTATGTGGTTAACACAGGCTTAGGAGATTTTAACGTTTTGTTCCGCAACATAAAATATATCTGTAAATACCCCTCTCTGGAATCTTGAAGATTTTGAATGTCTTTAAAAAGCCGGTTGCTAACAAGTGGCTAAATTAAACGTCATCACGCCGAACAACAGACCACCTTTAGCTTTGTGTTCGTGACATGAAGTCATGCGACTGTGGTGTAGTTAGTTCATAGCCTTACGTTAGCTTTTTACTTCTGGCGATTATATTTACGCAAAAATCATAAAAATGGTGTGCATCGGTGACGATTATCTTGCTGAACAACACTTTGACTGACTGAAATGTTCACCATAGAGTTACAATCTAGTCTCGCCAAAATATCCCCTTGTTTCTTTCTCCCAAGTCCTGCTGTTGACATTGTTTAATCAAGTAAGTTACTACGAGTCCTCCCGACTGTGCTCATTGTGTGCTGCCAAACCGTGTCGTTCTGATATGGTGGGCACAGCACAGGGAAAAAATAAATACATAAGAGAGTATTTTATTGACAACGAAAATGAAAGGAGATTTTGGTAAAGTTTTATTTTTCAAACCACAATATACAGCCTCATCTTTTCACGTCGACAATATTGTTGATATATTCACATGAAGTGTTGACCTCAGTGCCTTCTCGTCTTTGCATCACCTTAGTCGTGGAAACAAAGGTTGTAGACTAACATATTTAGTCATAGTTTTAGTTAACAAAATGAACACTGCTGTTGCATTGTGCACATTTACACAGTGACAGTTTAGATGTTAAAATTGTTACAAGTATACTTAAAGAGCAACTTAATACCAGACTGACAAGATGATGTTTCACTGCTTATGGTTAGAAGTGTGCTTTGTGGCACCTGTAACCACACCCAACGTCTGATGATGTCAAAGTGTAGGGAAGCTTCCACTTAAAGGAATGCTGATGTGCCAGCTGTGGTGGATGTCCATACCGTACTTAAACAGACTCGTGCAGTAACGATTCATCTTGTGTCAGTTGTGTCGTGACTTTAGGTGCACTTGGCGGTGGCGGTGACACGGCAGAGGGGTGGAGTTAATTACCTGCAGGGTCTCCAGCGAGATCTTCATGTTCTTTAGTTCCCCCAGCAGGTCGAGAGCTCCGTCCTGTAGACATGGAAACCTTCACATTATTAGCCAGCACATGCGGTGATATTGACTCACCACATTTACAGCTCAGTGAGTGAACACCGAGAGGATGAATCTGGCAATCACGCGTGTCTTGTTAAACTGTCCATTGAATGAACAGAAATGTTCACAGATTTGTTTCAGTTGACCCTCGTTTAACCATTAAAGTCAAGGTGGCCTTTTGTATTACAATTGAAGATTCATTGTTCTTGCCTCCCACAGCTGTTCCAGCTGTCAACTACACACCCCGAGGCAGTTGTTCAATGTATACTAAAGGTCACCAAGAGAATGATGAAACAACAAGACTGGATTCTTGTGAGTGGAGCTTTCTCTGTGTGGAGCTCATGCTCACTGTTGGACAGGAGAGTTTCACTTTCATTTGTCACTTAATGAGGACAAATATGTGTTCATAGAGGACACCAGGAATTCCATATTTGGGCATATTAAGATGATCCAACAGCTGAATACGATGGGAAGTTGTGTGTATCATACCGCTGATAACGTTGTCCCGACACACGGCGATGGGAAAGCGTTGTTGCGGAAGTGTAACAGCCACCCTCCGGTTCTCCCTGAGGTTAACCCCATTAGCTCGGTCAGCACTGTTGCCCTTGTTAGCACTGTTTGCACTTTTAGCACCGTTAGCTCCTAGCAGCCGGCTCAGCACTAGTCTTGTTGAGAGCCATACAGCCATGTAATCCAGGCTGTATTGGTTGTGGCTGCTGCAATAATGGGCCAATCAAATGTTGCATTAAATCGAAGGACGTTTGCGGTGATTGGCTGCAAGGAAGATTATAAAAAGTTATTTTTATCTAGATATGGGAATGAAAGGGATAGATGTAGGTACCAAGTAGGAAACAAGTGTCGATACTACCTGGTACATGGTTATTTCAGTCTGTACCTTAAAAAGGGTATTTAGTACCAATACCCAACCCTAAAAATCTCCCATATAAAACCACAGCTACCTGCTAAATACATTAGAACATTTATCGTAGCAGATATAGACGAAGATATGTTGGTAGAGATTGTTAAATGAGATATGTTAAAGTGATCTTCCCATTCAACTAAACTGCACTCCGTTTCAAGGGAAACCTATTTCCTCACAAATTACGGTCGCTGTTTTAAAAAGAGTTTGAAACACATTAACGTTGGAAATTAAAAGAAAATAGAACAAAAAATGTTTCTATACTACTATCGTCGTCCCTACGTGGACTTCCGTTGACTCATTTGAAACACATTTTTAGAAGAACACAAAAAGGACTCCAATGGATAAAAATGTCTGCTGGATGTGCAAATTATTTGCTGCCTTAGCCATAAGCACTTGATAAGCGGATATCATTTTAAAGGGCTTTTCTGTTGTTTGGTGTCTTCTCACCCCTAGTGGTCAAAAGTGGCCAAATGCATAAAACATGGGCATATCAAGAGCCTTTGATAAAATAGAATACCGATTCAAAATGCAGATATTAAAAAAAAATATGCACTCAAATATATGTTTATTTTATTTTAATGTAACACTATCTGTTGGATTCCACAGTATGAAAAACCTCGACCAAATGTTCTAATCATGACGATGACATTGAGATGAACTGTAGTTAGACATTTTGCTTTTCATGAATGCTGATGTGATTTGGGCCTTATGCTGGATGTGGCCTCAGGGTGTGGTGGCAATGCAGTGGTGATATTTTAAATGAGTCAACAGTTTTTAAATATCACTGACATTCTTGCTTGTGATTATTATTTTTAACAAAGATGAGTGTGACATTCATCAGCGTGTGGGCAGAACTGCCCTAAGCTTACTCGTGTTATGCATTTATTAATTGACCTTTGTTTTCCAATAGTAAAAACTGTACAGAACATTACCAGGCACATGTTGATCCTACAATCCACTTTGCTTGTATGTGAAATGTGACAAACTATTTTACAAATTAAAATAATAATAATAATAATAATAAGAATAATACTGTTAATATAGACACCATGTGATTTCAATAATCCCTGAAGCTATTCAGTCAATAAACTAAGTTGACAAGATAATTGCTTCAAGGTGCGGGTGATATAATTGGCAGCTTTTTGACCAATAGCTGCAGTGATTTATTGCCAAACTTTTCCCCCCAAATCATCAAAAACAGAAGCAGCAACCTTGTTATGAGTGAAATTATGAGCAGAAATCCTCCTCCACGGAGCAGTGAGCAGAGTTTATCGCACTGTGTTTCCAGAATGTTCCCCCTCTCAGCAACTAAAGGTAGAGCTCATCACCTGATCGCGTGGTTTCTGCGGATGCTGCTGCAACTGTTTTTGCACTCACCGTATTGTTCTTGTGCACCATTTTATCCAGCTTTTTGGCGATGCGCTCCACCTCCTGGCTTTTGGCCATTTTTGAGCAGATTTCTCTCCGTCAGTGCGTCCTCCTCTGCTGCGGAGAAAACCCCCGTTTATGTAAGAAAAACTCTCCCAGTCTCTCTCTCTCTCTATTTGCTCCACTTTACGCAGTCTGTCTGTGTCCTTCTCCCCCAGCTGCTGCCTCTCTCTCGTTTGTTGTTGTGCGTCGCTGTGGGACGCTGGGAGTTGTAGTTTTCTTTTTACTAAGTCGACCTGGAGTAGCGTGAACAACTTTTTTTATTTTTTAAAGAGACTCGGAAAAAAGGGGACTTTGTGAACGTGCATCTGATTTGTCAAGGTGGGCCCTCCATCAATCATTACAGCCGATGACGGGAAATATATAGACGGTTTATTGTAGGCTATTTGTTGGTAGGAATTCATGATGGTTGTTGCATCATGATCCAAAGGCTTACCTGTAGATTCACAATATCCTTTTCAATGCAACGTTTTCCTAATGTATGCATGCCACCATGTGTATTGAACTCATTCTAGAAAGACTCATGTCGTTCAGCCACAACAAACCAATTATATTATTCTATTAACGTCTTCTGTTTTATGCTGAGGCGGTCTGAATGATTCACTTATTAAGAGATAAATGAAAACTTTTCCTCAACGTTCACAAATGCATTTACACACATTGCACGTACAGTAATTGTTAATCAGTCAAACTCTTTTGTTTGTGCTATTGTGAATTAATTTTGGGAGGTTTAGGGATACAGTGGAACATGTGCGGAGAAGGAGAACATGTAGAAAATATTCCTCCGACATAAATGGTAATAATAAAGCATAGAAGTAACAGCTCAATCATAATGAAATGTGTCATACTCGAGAAGCATGATACAAACAAACATGAGTTTGTGGTAAAGTGGTACTTGGCTCTATTTACTTATTTGAACATGTATTTTCTTTTTGACATTTTGATTTTTACTTTCATCGATTACATTATTTTATTTTGACTTTGTCACAGTTTTTTATTGTTGGAATAACAAAGTTTTAGACCATGAACTTTGTAAAGCACAGCCTAACTATACATCTAATTGCAGTAATGAAGGACTCTGCCTTACAACATAGAGCTGGATGTGATTTCAGAGCAGAAGCAATAAATGTATGATGTTTTGTTTCTGATAAAGGTGTAATACGCGCCCGGTTGGAAAATGCACACAAGCCAGCTGTTGAGAAATTACTGGAAACTTTTTTTTAACTCACCATTTCAATTGCTCTGGAGGGAGATTCCTCTTTTAATAAACACTGAAAGACCTTGACTATGAACCTAATTAATAGTCTGAGTGTACTTACTGTGTCCTTCCTCTAGAGAGCAGTGTTGTTAAGCTATTTTGTACAGTGTGTTCAGTGTAAAAACGTTCTGTGTGATTCTCGAACAGACCAAATTCTGTAAACTCAACAGTATTTGGAAACTATTTGACCTGGTGTCTCAAAGTTGATTTAACTGCTGTATCAGTAAGTTGGTCACTATAAGAGTCTTGTGTCTTGTGTGATTACGTAATGAATAAGCCACCATGGGATCCTGCGTCTGTCTAGTGAAGGAAGGCTTAACTTTATCACTGAATATGTGCAATGGATCTAAGTGTGCAGGGATGTTTTTCCTCTATTTCACCCTAGAACTGTAAAATTATTATATTATTATAATCTTCATTTATTGAGCACTTTTCAAACCCAAGTTTATAAAGTGATTCACACAAGAAAGCAACTTAAATCAACAAATTAAAAGCCTAATGAGACATCAGATCTCAGTGATTTGTTTTTTAAATAACAGATACAAAATCAATGTAAGTGATTCGAAACAAATCAAGAAACTGTCTATGTATATTGCCAAATGTGAAATTCAGAGCATATCTATGATTTAGAGATTTCCTCCATACGGCACATGGCGACGGCTGAGCCGGCGGCTCAAACCGGGTTAACAGCGCTAACAGTGCAAACAAAGGCAACAGTGCTGGTTAAGGTTGAAAATGTTGGTACTGCCCCAAAACCTGAATCCTGTCCTGTTTGTATGTTTATTTAAAATTAGACCTAATAAAACATTCTGACACATCATGTTGTTGTTGCCCTCAAACTGTTATGTAGTCTAAATAAATTACGGCTATTGTAGTTGTTGCTTTTTTGCAGTGTACAGAAATGCCGTGAATTGATAAACAGCTAAGCATAGTGGCGAGGCATAGCGGAGACGTTGTTGAATAAAAACCATTTACTGAGGGAAATGAAACCTTCCATCGCTGACATGGTGAACATCCAGCCAAAGAGCAACAACGTTGACGAGTCGAAAGGGAAATACCCGAGATCTGTGCTGTCTCATGAAATCCAAACAAAGCATTTGTAAAGTCTACAGTTAAGAATACTAATTGGCCTATTGTTTACTACTGTCTGTGGACACTGATTGTAATGTACCGGAGGCCTACACCACCCTTATTTTCCCTGTCTCACATTTTACCCATTCTCGTCTGCTCACCCATAGTGCTGAGAGCTAACAGTGTTTACTTGAAGGGGAACCGGAGGGTGGGCGCTATATGCTTCTGTGACAACGCAGTCTGTCGGAACAGAGTCATCAGCTGTAACCGCTGTATGAGCGCAGTGCAGAGCGGGGGTCATGAGCTTGCTCGGGCACGCTCACGTGCATTAACATGCACTAAAAGGTATGCACGGCCGGCCCGGCTTTTTTTAACAAAGCATGGAGAAACCCGGATTTCAACACACAGAGGGAGAGCAACTTCAATCTCTGCTCATAGACATTACTTCATTACATCTTCACATAGCAAATAGCTGGTTGCTGCTATGTCGATGCACTGAATGTAGAAATGAGAACCTTTAACAAAACGTAAGTAAAATGAGGATAAACCTAAAAGGTGCATCAAGGTAGACAGAGCATTTACTTGTATAGCAATGAATATACAATAGAAATGTCCCCTATTTGTCATGTAATGTAGATTCTGGACTGTAGATTACATGAGAACTGCTAGGTTCTGGAACAAATTACTCTCTCAACAAAGTCTATCAACAGTGCCTGCCAGCTAGATCTCAACAGATAGTGGTCCTGTCTCTCGTTCATTCTTTTGATTAAAACAGGCTCTCTGCTCGACATTACAGACGAGTAGATCATTTTTTGGAGAAACTTTTTTTATTTATTTATTTTCATGTAAATTCCTGCTGCTTGATGTTGTCAGCCAAGAACCTCCTCCAGCTGAGGAGCTGCAGAGCAGCGCTGGCAGCAGCTGCTGGGTGAGATATCTGCCAGTCTGTGTGTGTGTGTGTGTGTGTGTGTGTGTGTGTGTGTGTGTGTGTGTGTGTGTGTGTGTGTGTGTGTGTGTGTGTTTGTGTTTACTACAGAGGACCTGAAGAGCTCGGAGGTCTGCAGCAAGGCAGAACAAGATGCTCATCCAAGAGCTGATTGAAAGGAAACAAAAGGGGCTTCTTCATCCTCCTCTCTTTTCTCCTTCTTCTACCAATCCTCTGTCCATCTTCAATGATCTTCTCTTCCTTTCCTCTTCTCTTCTCCTCACCTCTTATGTTCTCTCCTTACATCACCGCTCTTTTTCTTTTCCATCTTAGTTTTCTCTGTTTCTTTATATTGTCGTCAGCCCTTCTTGTCATTTTTCCTGTCATCCAGTATATTGTCTACTCCTTCCTCTCCCGCTTTCCCCTCCCACCTTACAGACCCTCAGAATTCCAATGAAGTTTGTTCATCAAGGATTTGATTTCCTGGAGAGTAAATGGATAATTGCGGGGATCCGGGAAGGCAGTCAGTGAGGTCATATGAGGAAAAACCTAGCATCTGGGATTTCACCATCATTTTCTTAGAAAAGAATTAATAGGCAGTTTCCTGGGAAAAAGATAAAACCGTGAAACATTCAGTTAAAGAAACAATCGGGTAATATGCAAACCAAGTTAATTTTTGTCAAGAATGTTGATTTAGTACACAAGTTTAAAATTGTGTTGTGTCACATGTTGGAAAGAAAATACCATATGCTGTTTTTCTACAGGGCCAGGTGAAGGTGAACTCATGAACAATTACTTAAAATGTAATTAATTCAAATTTAGATCTAGGCCATATGGTTTATTTATAATATCTTGACATTGTCACATGTCGCAATAAACGATCCATCTCTATATTTTCAGACTTTCTCTTAAATGATTGATTGGTTTAACTCTTTGATGCATGTGATCATACCTGCATGAACATTCTAGCAAACTGTGAGCACTCTAAGGGGTGGACTGTCATGTTTAAGTCAGATTGGTCTTGCTAATGTATTCCTTATTATTCATTTTGACTTATTCACACAATTGAAATTTAATTTTTCATTAAATATATATTCATTTTGTTTCATGTATTTAATTATTGACAGACCCACTGACACTCTCACTGTAATGCCTATTATATAAACATACCACAAACAATACGTGGGTGCAAGTCTGTTCCTTTCTGCACTTTTCCCTGCCCCACTGCTTCCATCCCCTGGACTCAAAACTACCGCTGTTGGGACATGCCAGGTAGCTTATGTTCACCTTCACAATAAACGTCTGAATGGTTGCTGTCGGCCTGCATTGCCTGGCGCCAATTCAACAGCGTCACTAACTCGGAGGCTAAACTCAAAGTTGTACCAGTGAGCTCTGTCTGTTATAATAATGCTGAGCTGATAGTATTGTGATTCTTGGTTTACTTCTTTGAGAAGACCTGGGTCTATGGATTTTTTTTGATGAAGCTTGACAGCAGCAACTGTTTGCTCTACATGAAGTAGATCTATGTCCAGCAAGTGTTTCTTCTGAGTATATGGCCAAATCCCAATGTCCCCCCTTACGGACTCATGGACTTTGAGGCGCACTCCCGCGAAGTCCGTGAGCTTTTAGTCAAATTGTCAAGTGTTTGAGGGCCCCCTTGCAGACATTTTGAGCCCTTTATGAACCCTTTCCGTAAGTCGGCATGGTATGCCGACTTAGCCGAAGGGAATTACCCACAAATCATTGCAATGTGACGTTAAACACAGGGTAACTAGTGGAAGCATGGAGACGTACAAAAAAAGGTAAACAAAGAGGACAGCTCAGGTGTGTTCAGCCTGTCTTATTAAATTTACTCAGAAACATCAAGAGTTAAAAATGGAACAAAAAATAAACATGAAATCAGATA